AGGTCTCCACAGGGCTGTGTCCTTACTGGAGGCTTTGGGGAGGAATCTACTTCCACACTCATTCAGGTCGTTCCTTGTGGTTGCAGGACTGAGATTCCCGCTCCTTGCTGGCTGTCAGCCGGGGCTGCCCTGGGCTCCTAGGGGCCCCTCTTGGTCTTTGCATGTGGGATCCTCCTGGATCTCAGAGCCAGCAATGCGTGTCAAATCTTTCTCACCTTTGGAATCTCCCTGACTTCTCCTTCTGCCCCATCTCCCTCCCTCCTCCCCTCCCTCCCTTCCTTCCCGAGCTTTATGGAGATATAATTGACACGTAACACTGTGTAAGTTTAAGGTGTACAACGTGATGGTTTGATACATGCACATATTGCAAAATGATTACCACAATAAGTAGGTTAACACATCCATCACCTCACATAATTACCGTGTGTGTGTGTGTGTGTGTGTGTGTGTGGTGAGAGCACTTAAGATTTAGCAACTTTCAAGTATACAGTACAGTATTGTTAACTATAGTCACCATGCTGTACATTAGATCTCCAGAACTTATTCATCCTGTAACTGGAAGTTTGTACCCCTGACCAACATCTCCTCATTTCCCCCATCCCTTAACCCCCGCAACCACCATTCTACTCTCTGTTTCTACGAGTTCCATGTTTTTAGATTCCACATATAAGTGAGATCATATGGTGTTTGTCTTTCTCTGTCTGACTTAACTCACTTAGCATAATGCTCTCAAGGTCAATCCACGTTGTCTCAATTGGCAAGATTTTCTTTTTGATGGCTGATATATATAAATACACACACACATCCATTCTTTATCCATTCATCTGTCAACAGACATTTAGGTTGTTTCCATGTCTTGGCTATTGTGAATAATGCTGCAGTGAACATGGGGGTGCAGAAATCTCTTTGAGATTGTTATTGCGTTTCCCTCAGCTATATACCTAGAAGTTGGACTGCTGGGTCATATGGTAGTTCTATTTTTAATTTTTTGAGAAACCTCCATACTGTTTTCCTTAGTGGCTGCACCACTTTACATTCCCACCAACAGTGCACAAGGGCTCCCTTTTCTCCACAGCCTCACCAACACTTGTTATTTCTCGTCTTTTTGATAACAGCCATTCTAACAGGTGTGAGGTGGTATCTGATTGTGGTTTTGATTTGCATTTCCCTGATGGTGAGTGAAGTTGAGCACCTTTTCGTGTGCCTGTTGGCCATCTGTACGTCTTCTTTGGAAAAATGTCTATTCAGGTCCTTTGCCCCTTTTTTAATAGATTGTTTGTTTCCTGGCTATCGAGTTGTCTGAGGCTGCATCTTTCTTCTCACCTCATTTGCTGAATCTCTTCTGATTCTCTGCTTTTAACGGCTCATGTCATGAGATTGGGCCCACTCAGGTCATCCAAAATAACTTCCCTATTTTAAGGTCCGTCACCTTAATTCCATCAGCAAAGTCCCTTTTGCCATGTAATGTAACATATTCACGGGTTTTAGGAATTAGAGCATGCACATCTTTGGAGGGGCCGTTCTGCCCACCACTAACTAATAGTGCTGAGGCCTGGGGGGTCCAGGGTGAACGGTCCAGACTGGGGCCCTGCCTCATGGAGCCCGGAGACTTGAGCAAGGACCACTGCTCGCACTGCCCCATTAGCAGGGCCTGGGACACACAGGGAGGCCCACATGCCAGATGTCTAAGGCATTAGAAGGTATAAATCAAACCACGCCCACTGCCCACCCTGCTCTCTGGGGTCTCCCTGGGAGACATAGAGGGTGTCCCCAAGGCAGGGAAAGACAGGGCAGGGCGGAAGCTGGGCGGGGGCCGGACTCGCCTAGACCTAGGACAGGTCTGACCTGGTCAAGCTCCCCAAGGAGCCCGCCCAGCCTTTGGGACCCCTCCCCAGGCCCCACTTTTTGGGCTCTGGCTTCCAGACAGTTCTAAAAGTCTCTCAGAGTACACACCCCAGCAAAATGGCGGGAGGGAATGTCTCCTGGGGACCCCACCTTGGGAATGTGAGTGGCCTGCTTTAAACCGGAGCAGCCCCTCTTACTGTGGTCTCTCGAGGCAGAGGCTGGGACCCCACCCCTCCCCAGACTCATATCCCTTCAGCTCCCATCCACTGGCCTGGGGTGGAGGGAGGGCCGTTCTGTCTTTTTCTTGTAGAGTCCCTTTGCTCAGTCAGTCACTGACGCCCAGAAAAAATTCTTAGGAGACCAAAAAGAAGGACAAATTGCGTATTTCAGTCTGTGTGACATGCCGGCCCTTTGCACTGCTCTCCCATGGCAGCACCCTCTCTGCCCAGGATGGCTGCAGTAGCTTCCCAGCCTCCTGGCAACTGCTGTGGTCCCCTGCAGTGTCACCACTGCCCCCACCCCAAACTCAACACAGGCCACCACAACCCTTCACCGCATCATAACTTTGCCTCTAAGGCCCCTGCCTCTGAGCGCTGCCTCTGGGCTCCCCGCCTGGCCTCCCTTCAGGGGCTCAAAGGCAGCCTGCTGCAAATGTGGTTTCTGCTGCCCAGAAGGCCCCTTTCTTCTTGTTCTACCTCCTTCTCTCCTACCTCCGTGAGACACCAGCTTGGGGGCATCCTCGGGGAAGCCCACCGGCTGCCAACCCCAGGCTGAGTCTGCAGTCATGACTTCAGTCTTCAGGGTCAGCCTCCCAACTGGGTCCAAGCTCAGGGAGAGGGGGGATGGAAGGGGGTGTCCATGGTGGATATTCTCATAAAGGAGCAGCTCTTTAATGACGTCTGTTGAGCACTTACTGTTTGCAGGTGTGGCACTGAGCACGTTGCACTTAGGAGCTCAGTCAACCCTCACATCCACCTGGGAGAGAGGTGCTTTCACCGTCCCCACCGTACAGAGGAGACTGAGCAGAGCCGACTCACGCACGCCAGCCTAAAGGCTGTCACGTCATAAAACCTTCCACGGACAGTGGATGAAAGCAAAACCAAAGAGAAAGTCCTCAACTGGAGGTGCCTGTTCCAAACACCAAGTCCCTCACCCTCTCAGCTCGTCCTTGACAGCAGACATGCATGGATCGCACCACACTCTTCTGCATCTGCTTTCCATTTGTGTGTGCGTGTAATTAATCTCGGCCCATCTTCCCACGGCAGTACAGCAATCACCTTCTCGCTCATTATCCACTCCAACATCCTTTCTGGGAGGAAACCACTGGAAACAACCAAATGCCCTTGGAAGGGCAAATGCAAATAAAAAAATGAATTCTCCCTGGTGCAAAAGGGGAGACATCTCATCTCCCTTTTCTTAGAGCACTTTAGAAAACTTGTCAATTCTTTCTTTGCTCCTCAAATGTGTGCTGAGTCTTTAAAACAGTGGAATAAGGCTCATGCCAGTTTGACCCCGCAGGTATGTTTTTCGAAGGACGTGGGAGCTGTCTCTGTGTGATGTAAATATCCAGGAATCCGGTGCCCTATCAGCCTCCGGGAGGGCAGGAGCCTAGCTTCAGGGTTTGCTCCAAGTTGCAAAACAACCTCCTCTGTAAAGATAGGAGTTCCTTTTTCCTGTAGATAAGGACAATTAGCTAACACACATAGTCACCCCAATTACGGGGGAATTCAGGATGAACTACATGACAGACAGTGCCGTCTAGTCCTCTTAGTCGAGGACTAGTTATCGTTTGAGAACACAGACGTAACAGGTCGTTATCTGCTGGACTATATAAAAGGGTGGGGTAGCAGGTTGTCTGTGGCGTGCACCACAATTGCGTTTAAGGCTTGCTCAATAAAACTGTCATCTTCCTCTTCTACTTTTATGGAGAGGTTTTCTGGGTTGGTGGGAGACTTTGTTTTTAATTTTGTCTCCAACATCTTCAAATGTCCTCAAATGTTCAACTAATTTGGCACCTCCACACAGTGGAATCCTATGCAGTCATGACAAAGAATGAGAACGCTCTCTCCATGTTCGTTGTTGAGTGACAGTGCAAGGGACACAGTAGTTTACCACTTTTTCTGTAAAAGGACTCTATACTTGTATTTGCTTACATTTGCATAATCTCTGGAAGAGTAAACAAGGAACTAATAAAAGTGTTTTGTGTGTGTGTTTGTGAAGAGGAACTGGGCAGATAGGGGAGAGGAGAGGGATGGAATTTTTTTGCTGAACACTATTTTATATTTTCTGATGTTTGAAACATGTGACTATATTATCTATTCAAAATAAATTTAAAAGAAGGGGTGGTGACAAGCCAACAAACCACTAAAGAAAAGAAGTCCTGGGACCAGACATTCTGCAAGCACTTGATTCTGGTCATTTCTGAGCTCAGCTTCGACCTTAGAACCAACTGAAAACCGATTACCTTCAAGGGTCAGGAGTGATAGCAAGGGGTGTGTGGGGTAGTGTCCCTCCATACTGGGAATTGGGAAGCCAAGATTCCACCATTCGCTACTGCCCTCAGAAGCTCCTCTGAGAGGATAGTGGGAAAAGGATGCGGGGTGGCAAGGGTCCTCTCTCTACCCCTCTGGCCACTTCTGGGCTGTGTTGACTGTCACCCTTGTGATGACTGTTGGGCATCAGATCAGGAAATGGCCCAGGAGGGCGCTTCTCCCCCTTGCCCTGTGTCAAACCTGTGAGGTAGGTGCTATGTATTACAATTCCCATTTTATGAATGAGGAAACAGAGGCACAGAGAAATCAAGTGACCTCCCCAAGGTCACACAGCTTGTAAGGGCCAGTTCACCCTCCCAGCTGTTTCCTCTTAATACCCGTGAGCCTGCCTCCAGCTGGATGCTGGAGTCAGTGTTTCCTCAAGAGTGGAAGAAGGAAGTTCTGAAATGGTGGGATCGCAGGTACCGGGGCACAGAGTTGGGGCAGTGCTGTGCGTTGCATTTCCAGGGCCCGTGGGAGTTTGTGTTGATGGTCAAGCACTCAGGCTCTGCCTCCGGGATCCTTACCACGTGCCCTGTGACCTTGGGCACGCGCCTGGCCTCTCTGCGTCCCGGTTTCCAGCTGTTAGTAATTAGCGGCAGGGGCGGGGCCCTGTGGTGGACAATGCCCCTCCAGAGGGCCTAGGCGGAGCACTGCAGGCTGCAGAAGTCAGCAGATGAGAAGAGCCTCAGCACGTTGACCAGCGGGAACATGAGCAGGGCTCCCAGCAGCGAGCCCAGCTGCACCGCCGCCCCGCACCACAAGAGGGCGCTGCGGCTACGGTCGCGCAGGATCACGCCGAGCATCACCTTGACGTAGCTCAGACAGCCGGTGAACAGCACCCAGGAGACCACCTGCGGCGGGGAGCGGGAGAGATGCGGAGTGAAGGGGCCTTTGGGGCGAGCCCCAGGGACGGAGGGCGCTTGCAGGGTGACCTAACAGGGTTAAGGGGACCCCATGGAATAACCTCTACGTTCAAGGAGAGCCTTTTGGGAGTGACCCTGCACGGCTAAGTGTGCCCCATGACTTGACCCCCCCAAGGGCAAAGGAGAACCCAATGGCTTTTCCGTCCCCCATGGTCAAGTCAAGGGCATCTGGGAGAAGGCCACTGGTGATGCATACATGGTGGGAAGAGTGTGGCCTTCAGGGGAAAGGCTGGACTGTCACCTTGGACCAGCCACCTCACCTTCCTAAGCCTCCACTTTCAAATGAGAGGCAACCCCCCCAACCCCCCGCCCCGACCTGGGGCTTCCTGAGCAACCACAACAATTTTGGTCAATAGAAAGGGCTGTACCCCATGTCTACCCCCACCTTGGCTAGGTGGGGGGGTGGGG